CAGGCCTTCCCAACTACCAGACTCAGCACCTACGGGTCCAGTATAAACCGGTTTATCTGACCACACTACCCGTTTTCAAGGTGTGTGTCAGATCGCATAAAAGAGTATCATACCCCATCACAAATTTTGTAAGCCTACCTGTCATCCGGGTATCGCGCCTCGTTTTCGTCAAGTAGGAGTCGTATGAATACAACAACATGGAAATCGGCAATCCTCGGCTCATTCCGCAAGCTCCATACTATTGTCGAGTGCGGAGACATTGGTGTAGTTCCGAGTGACAACATGGCGACAGACGACTCACTGAATCTCGTCCAGAAAATATTTAACCCCCGACAGATCATTGGCTATGTTCGAACCTAAATTTTATGTTAAAAATTGCGGTATTGTCAGATTTTTAGCATAAACAGGGAAAATTGCAGCAGCGCATGAATGTAGATGAGATGCACTACTTTCCAACCCCGCTTTAGACCACGGTGGAAGTGAAGAACAAAAGATTCAGACGTGGTGTAACTCGCATAACCGCACGTCTTGCATGAATGCGTTATAACCCGCTAATGGACCCGTGGTCTAAATAAGATAGATCCCTCCTCAGCGAGGGTTATGTGACATCCACTCGTGCTTCGCACTCGTGTATGCCACATAACCCCCGCTGACTCGGGGTCTATCTATTACTAGGATCATCGCCATCACATCGCGCACCAGGTAAAATCGGTGTGGTGGCTGATACTCTTTTATGCGATCTGACACACACCTTGAAAACGGGTAGTGTGGTCAGATAAACCGGTTTATACTGGACCCGTAGGTGCCGAGTCTGGTAGTTGGGAAGGCCTGAGTAATACTCAAATAAAACAATGCTGAAATCACAGATTTCAAGAACAGAATAGCTTTAAAATAACCTGTCCACCAAAATATAAAGGAACTTCTTCAAACAAGCATTATGCCTTAGAAGTATATGAAACAGTGCATGCAAGGCATGCAATATGGGCTCAAATTAAATGAATTTTTCTGACACATGTATCACATAGTTGGAAAAACTTTCACCACAACAAGCAACAGTATTAATTGAAAAAAAATACTCAATATATTATCTGATAAGATATATGTCAAATGATATGGCATGATGCAATTACTATGTTATAATTACAATAGATATTTATTAACTTACATCAGCATCCTCATGCTTGGCAACTCCCTGGCAGTAGAAAGGCTTCCCATTGATCAACAACTGGGTATTAGTCCATTCTACACTACGAATACCAAAGGGAAGACGATAAAAATCTGCAATGTTCTTGGAGTCTTTGATTGCAACCTACAAAATTTAATCCTTTTGTTATATTTTCATGTGCATAAATTAACACAAAATGGCCACCCATTTCATAAAAATTCTGGCCATACAACTACAAAAAAAAAAAATCTATTTTTCAATCATAAAAAAATGTGTATGACAATATGCCATTCAAAAAGGTTTCTACCACCACAAAGAGAAAAAGATAATGATACTTTTTTACCAGTAACACATCTTTCTAAATTTAAAGCAAACATTCACCAAAAACATTTCTGAACTACCTTAAAAGTATAAAAATAAGCTGGATCCTGGCCATTACTTGTATAAGGCCACCATAAATGAGGTTTTGGTATCATGATTTTTCCTCTGGGTTGGGAGCTACTTGCAACAGTCACTCCAGACTTATCAATGACATCAACTGTCAATGTAGCACCTGCTGTGTTTCCTTCAAGAGTTACATTATAGTCCACAACACCTGAAATATAGAAGTAAAATCAATAGACATGAGCCCAGATTAAAAAAAAAACTCTGAACATTTATCATGGGACCCAATAATTAACCTTGACGAGTTTCAGGAACCATCAGAATTGAATTAAAAAACGCGAAATTCTGCTTTTCTAAAGAAAAAGCTCATGTCTGAATCAATGATTCCAATGGACAAAGTTTGCTTGGACACAAAATGACAAAAGTAACAAAATTTGACACAAGAAAAGATATCAAAAATTGTATGTATTAACTCCTAGAGCCCAGAAAAACATATCTGAATTCTCTTACCTGATGTGTCTCTGGTTACTATGGTGATATCATCTATGTAAGTCCTTGGTGTGGAGTACAGTCTCACAGAACGATGAATGCCAGCATAATTAAAAAAATCCATTTGTAAATTTTGGACAAAATAACCAGCAGGATACCTGAAAAAGAAAATGTTTGCAGCATAAAGAAGCCACATATGGCAATATTAAAAGTTTTTCAGCACTGATCAACAAATCAGCAACAAATTCTTAGAGTAACAGTGTACTGATCTACAAATTAGATAAAACAGTATACCTAAAACAATATTTTACCTATTTTTGTCCGTCTTGTATTCAATACTTCCTGGTGGAAGGGTGGTTGGGGAAAGTGTGTTGTTTATTGTAATAGTTATTCTGTTTTCCCCAGCAAAGTTCAGTGCTTTGTTAACTTCTGCCTCAAAAGGTAAATGTCCTCCACTGTGATTCATGACCTGTATTGAATTCACCCACTGCACATGCAATTGAAAGAGATTTTTTGTTTATGCTTTGGTCACACAATATAAAACTAGCATATTTTATTTCTGCAAAATGCCATTTGTAAATTGCCTCCAGTCTCTGTGAACAATTTTATTCTAGTGTTTTCCAACACTTCACAGATCTACAAAAAGTTAATCATTGAATATTACTTAAACAACATCCTAATATTTACATACATGTAGATACACTCATATAACTTATAAGTGCCTTATACTTGAAGTATGTGGCAGTTTCCTTTCCAGTGCAACATGGCTCCAAGGTCTACTGAATAACAAATATTTCAAATTTGACTAAAATGAGGCAAAAAAATCTATCAATGCATACCACAATAGAATTGTAATGTGCGCTGTCCACCCTCAAAACCACCCTTTTATTCTGCCATTCAGGTGATACAAAGAAAGTTCTGTCATACCACGTCCATCCTACAAAGTCTCTCAGGGACTGGTTAGTTGTGATATCATTATAGCTAGATGGCACTGGCATTGGGATGACTGGACCTGTCTAAAATATAAAATAAATAAATAAATAAATAAAGACACGTGATAATATTTATCATAATGTCAATAATATTAACCAACATGAAAAGGAAATATAAAACCAAAAGGTTAATTAATTAATTAATTCTCAACTGTTCATGTTATAAGTAGTTGTTCCTGTGGGTATTTATATTAAATTCAATTTCTTTTTTTTTCTATTCTGTATTGACCTTTTCCTATGTCAAATATGAATTAAAATGGGGTAACCTGAGTGAAAAGGGGGGGGGGGGGGCAGGGGCGGATACAGTGCTATTTACTGAGAGTCTTCCAAATTATCTTTGTTGATTCACACTCCAATTTTGACCGTCTTCCAACAGAAAAAATAGATACCTGTCAATGTTAACTTGAAAATCTGACCGTCTTCCGGAAGACCCAGAAGACGGCCTAAATCCGCCCCTGGGGGGGTAGTTCAGTATGATAGGGTCAAATGGTCCGGTCTAGACTGATATATATATATCTAATTATCCAATCTACTCGGTATTTCAATTGAAACAAGCTTTAAAATGTTACATAAATAGGTATTTATTGTTGAATCCGCTTGATTCCGCTACTTTTTTTTTTTTTTTTTTTATTCCGCTAAATAGTAGGACCCCAATCTACTGGGTTAGTAGAGGCAGAGGTCCTGTAACTCAATGTGTAATTTTGCCTGTAACTAGATATACTAAATACATGCATATCATGTTGAAACAAAACAAGCATATATAGGAACGTATATAATGGTGATTACTAATAACGCATTCACATAAAATAATTGTACATCGCACACTGACAGATGTCATAAAAATACGCCCACATCACCTGATCGAGTGGCTTTGCAAACCACTTTTGATCAAAGCCCCTCAATCTATTTGGGGAATAATCTGCTCTGAACTTCCACATGCCATTTAATTCCTGTATCTGTCTGCTCTCTGACTCCCTTGGATACAGCATTCCACCATGGATTGCCCATACTTCTTGCACTAAGAAGAAAACTACAAGAAAAATTCCCCACAACATTACAGCCCTGTTTCAACCACTGCCGCCGGTACGCGCAATGAATATTGGGAATTAAAGCACGCGCTCATGATTGGCTTGTTGTCGGGTCAACGTAATTGGTGTTTCTAAAAATAGTAACAAGTCAGCGCTTATAAATATGAGTATGCAGCGGAAGCTGCTGAATAGGAAAGAAATTCGATTGGTTTCGGCAGGTAATAGCGTCTTTTATTACTGATTTTATCATAGATAGAGCTTCTATATATACACAAGATAAAGAACTCTCGAGCTATGTTGATACCGTATTTGTAACTAAATTTAGGTTTGACTGTTTTGCCAGTTGGTTGTTGGGTATCGTGGTCTCAGAGTGAGGATAACATTTTGAGATAAAATTTAGCTCCTCTTGAGTCATACTTTTTGGAAGTAAGCGAATGCATTGGGTCTTTGCTCAGTTCTTTCACCCCAGAATCTATTTCCTAATTATTTTGGCCCATGTATGCAATCTGCATATTTAAGCGGTAAATAAGGTGACTCCACCCAGGCAAGATCCATATCATGCTGTTTTTTAGTTCACTAATACACCACCATTAGTTCACTTTACACATCACCACACTGTTGCTTTTATAACGGCTGTCTTTCGGGGCAAATTGGTTCAGATGCTCTGCAGTAGGGTGAATTATGCCTAATCTCTTGGGACAGAAATCGATAAAAATCGAAGCATTTTGAGCAGAAAAAAACTGCCAATTCGTGAAACATATAGAGGATTACACACCGAACAAGTACAGGTAGATATATGGAACATTGCCGCACTGCAGTAACCTTCTTTTTTACCTTATCTCTCTCCATGTTACTTCTTTCATCCCAATCTGATTGGGGTTATCAAGGGGACCCATTTTGAAGGCCTCCAACATAACCAAGGGGATGAGGGACATCCTAGATGAATCTGTCCAATAGTACATATAGAATCCAGGTAGAGATCCAAGGTGCATTAAGTGCATTTCTACTAGGGATAATGTTGAAGGGGAAGCCATATATTTTGTTTGGCATTGAAATGTATTGCCTTTGACAATTATGGTTCTGTTACTTTTCAGGCACTCCTCTTATATATTAGTAAATGAAGCCATATACTAACTACTGGCAGCTGTGTATTATATTAAATATGTCACTAGTCTATAATGTTATGAGATATTGCTAGAGTTTCATTTTATTGTATAGAATTTTTCTTCATCTGAGACATTTTTATTCTCAAATGATTGCGTATGTTATCTGAATGTATGCAACCTTAACATAGAAGTGAACATTTACTAGAAAATATAAATATGTTTACCCTAGATAAAGGCTATTCCTGCAGTAACTGCATGTGACCTATGGTGTGCTTGTAGCATTTTTTAATATATAGCAGTGAATACTTGCATATATATTGATTCTGTGTTATGTGTATGACCATGAAAGCAGATTGCCCATTTCTTCTGTGATCAGCTGTCTTTGATGAATATACAAACTCTCTTTTGACTGTTTACAGCAAGGTATATTATGATATGTTGTTTTAAAGTGTTAGCATCTCACGCTTAGTAAATATAAGTCTTAAGGCTCTTATTAAATATTACCATTAAGGTACCCTTTTGATGTTTCAGGTTAGTGCATGACTTTCAAAAAGATCCAGCACCAACAATGACCGCTAAGGATCACAATCTAGCAGCATTAAGAAAGAAGGCATACAACATCAAGTTTGACCTAGCCAACACAGAATATGAACCAGTGGAAAATATTGGTATTGGTGCTTATGGAGTTGTGTGCTCTGCCATCAACAGAAGAACCAAGGACAAGGTTGCCATCAAGAAAATACCTGATATATTTGAAATGCCACAAATAACAAAGAGAACTTATAGAGAAATAAGAATTCTGAAGCACTTCAAACATGATAATGTGATAAAAATACGCGAAATTCTGAAACCTCAGTCTGTAGACAATTTAAAGGAAATCTATATTGTTTTGGACCTTATGGAGAGTGACTTGCATAGAATAATTCATTCAAGTCAAGAATTGACAGATGAGCATGTGCGCTATTTTTTGTATCAAATTTTGCGAGGCCTGAAGTACATCCACTCAGCCCATGTGATCCACAGAGATCTCAAACCAAGTAACTTGCTGGTAAATGAGAATTGTGATCTGAAGATTGGAGATTTTGGTAAGTTTGCAGTTTGGCACTGTGTTGTTGTTTGCAGTATGAATTGATATTTCCTTTTGTTCATTGTATTTATCTGTAATTTCCTTAACATTTTAATAAAGTTGATTATGCATTTATAAATCTTTTAAAAAGAAATAAGTGATAAGCTGTTTTAAATTAAACAGTTGACAATGTCTTTTTTCCTATATCATTGTATTTGATCTGCTCACTGGCATTTTCTTTGCGTCACTTCCTTAGCTAGAATTGAAAACTCCTTTAAAGTGAATGCTATGTCACAATTAAATAATGAGGATAAACAAATGCAATTGTTTATAGGCATGGCAAGAGGGATCAGCTCTGGTCCTGACCAAGAGCACAAGTACTTTATGACCCAGTATGTGGCCACACGATGGTATAGAGCTCCAGAAATAATGTTGTCCATGTTGGAATATACCACAGCTATTGATGTGTGGTCTGTTGGGTGCATCTTTGCTGAAATGTTAGGCAGAAAACAACTTTTTCCAGGTAAGGCTGCTTCATCATTTCCTAAAATTTCAGATAAAGATTAAGTGGATATGAATTGAAGGAAACTGGTGTGTTGCTGACAGCAAGATTGATTATGCTTTAATGGTTTTAGTTGAATCTATCTTTTTAGAATACAGATGCATTCACCTCAAATTTGCTGCAAATTGCCCCACAAAAGTAGTTGCTATCTCACCATCAGAATTGCAAATAAGATATATTTCATGGTTCAGCTTCTATTTTCATGGTCTAGTAGAGTGTCATGCTGGGCTCACCCTAACATAATTTCTATGTATATGCCAAATATCTGAAAAAACTAATGCAAGTTGATAATACACAACCCTGAGGCATGTCAGTGTTTAAAAACTAATGTGTCCAAAAGACCAACTTTTGCTGACCATATTTCACTGACACCCTAAGGCACTCTCATAGAAAATAAGGAACTGAGTTGTATTTTATCACAGGTGAAAAACTACATCAAAATGAAAACAGCAAGGCTACAGAGCACCTGACCCTTTTCACTTTGTGTGGTTTATAGCAGAGTTACATTTTATCTTTATTGTGACATTTTAAGAGATTGGCTACTTACTAGTAATAGCCTGGCTATAACATAACATAGTACTCTGATTAATCTAAAAAGGTTTTTGTTTATAATCTGTTTATGATATGCTTATTTTTAGATATTTTATTAGATTCAATGCCACTATGTCCACAAAAACGCCCAAATTTTGACAATTTTTTAATTGTGCACATCCTTATTATGTAGGGCTGTCTTACATTTGTGATTAGTGCAGTAAACTTCAGTCAAACAGCAGTTAAGTGCAGGTGCGGCAAGTGGGCATGGATGGAAATAAGAAAATGAAAAAAGCTTGCTCTCATTGTCTCTGAAACTTGGGCTACTGTCAGCAGGAGCAAAGTTAATGGCTTTGGTGCCCCAGCTTTAGTTCACTCTAGGTGACATTTTATAAGTAATTTATGCAGCTGATCCACACAGTGGCACAGAGGTTACTAATGGGTCTCAGCTTGTAACAGGAACAATTAGTCTTGCAGCAGCTTGTGTTATGTTAAAACAAAAGCTCATTATCCATATAGATTTTTCAATAAGAAGTATTATTGCCAGATTGAATTTTGGTAAAAATTTATGATAACCATGTATGATTTTTTTTATTTGTTGTGTGATGGAGTATATTTAGAAAACATCAGAACCCTCATATCAAAACAATATAAGATTAATGGCACTTAAGCTGTCTCCACCCTAAAATAGGTTTATACACAAGGGTTAATATATAATTTAATGAATTTGTGCATGGAAGATGTGAAATTGAGAGTAGTGTAATACTGATGATATTGCTGTTGCTGTTTTCCCAATCTAATTTTGAAAATGACAGTAAACAGCATTTGTTCATGTAATGATCATGTTTTGATGACTTTTAAAATTGATTTGACTTTGAATTGTACATAATGTACTAGCAATACCTGATACCATATCATTTGTGTGTCTCATTATGTTTTACAGGCAAGGATTACATTAATCAGTTAAAACTCATTATTGGCATCTTGGGCTCTCCCTCCAAAGACATACTGCAGAAATCCCAGTCAGAGATGGTGCGGAATTTCATCAGGGGTAAAATAAAGATATTACTTTTGTGGTAAAATTTGACCTTTTTCTGTGGAAGGAATAAGTTGTATTTGTGTTGTATTTATTAAATGTGCGCTGTATTTTAATATTTATACAGTACCTTACAGTATTGATATCAGCTGCACACAAGTAGAATTTGGGTCTTGTATATCTGATCATGTTAAATGAAAGACCTATTAACATAAAATATTTGGTTTACAGGTTTAGGGAAGAAGGATCCTGTGCCTTTCAATGTGCTTTTTCCCAAAGCACCGAAGAAGGCTGTTGACCTACTGAGTAAAATGTTGGCACTAAGTCCTGCTGACAGAATATCTGTTGATCAGGCTCTCAAACACCCATACCTGTCTAAATATCATGACCCAGATGACGAACCTATTTGTATACCAGCATTCAACTTTGATTTTGAGAATGAGGTTTGTTTCCAAGTATGAATACTAAAAGCAAATGGGATCAGAATTTGCCATCAAGCCTTTAGTTACTGAAATATTTAAAATCACTATATTACAATTTTATTGCTGAATTGCTTATAATTATAGCATTAAAATTGGAAAGTGTTCCTTATTTGCATTTCCCAGTCCTTTACTTAATCTTTCATACTATAGGAGGAAGTGTCACTGCCAGCTGTTACAAAAATATTTTCACCAGCTGATACATTGGGATATTCATCTCATGTATTTATCGTTACATAGACTCTTGGGTAGTTTCATGAGGTATATTAAGCAAAGTACTTATTTTCAAAAGCTAGTTTGAAGAATCACATTTTCTTTTTAGAAAGTGGATGTGGCAAATTTAAAGGAGGCTATTGTTAAAGAGATCATGGAGTATCACCAGCCCAAACCAAGCCTGAGTGACCTCAGTAGCATTCTTAGACCTGTGCCCAAGCAAGAATCACAATATGGTGATGGACTAGGTGCATTTCTAAAACATCAGCAGGCAGTCAAACCTCAGGAACAACAGCAACAACAAGAAACCTTGCAGCATTTGAAGCAGTTAAATGCAGCCCAACAACAGGAGCCGACTCAGTCACAAACCCAGGTCTTTCAGGTGCAAAATTTAGTAGCTGTTCCAGCATCAGGATCTCATCTTCCTTTTGTTTCTAAAGCCAACAATAGTCAGACTGTACCAACAGCAGCACACAAAACCACAACATCTATGGCACCAGTTACTATAACAGTAGTTCAGAACAATGACTCTGAAGTGTTTAAGAAGCCAACAGGACTGACATTTCTACGTCCATCCCAATCACAGCAACCGGTTAAGGTGAACACCACAGGCAGCCTGCTGTCTGCTATGTCTGATGTTGAAATGTTAAGTGCCAAGTCTGATGTGGGTAGAGATACCATGGATACTAGCAGTAGTGCAGCACAGCAACAAACCTCCCAGCCACAAGTTGTCAGCAACAGTACAGTGCAACAGGGCATAACCACCAGTGCTGCACCTCTGTGTACTGGGCCAACTGATACCAAAGCACTTATCAAGGCAGCCTTGCTCAAAGCCAGAGAACAGAGGAATGGTTTGTCACTTTCATTTAATAATTTTTTTTTGGTTCATTGGAATAGTTTACTTTGTATAATAAAAAACAGTATTATCCTTCTCACAAAAAAGATATTTTAAGATGCATGTAATGAGTGGTATAATTTTTGGAAATTTTGATTTGGTGGGAATATCCTAGATAGGATGTAATACCTGTAATGAAAAAAAATTTTTTAGATCCTTCTAATCAGAATAAGGAAAAGCCCCGACCACAGACAGCTTATGAACGCCAAAAAGAGAGAGAAGAAAAGAGACGCAAGAAAATGGAAAAATCTATGGAGAGAAAAAAGAAACAAAAGGAGAAAGAGGGTAAAGATATATTCATTTTTGTAGACTTAATGCATTAAAATGATCTGTGGTTACTAAAATTAGTTTATTTATAACCCATAAGATGCTGGAGATTATGTATTTAAAAATTGGTTCACCAGAACACATTAAGTGTCAAATATTGATATTTAACTCCAGTCTTTCTTTAGATCCTTTTCCGTGTACATAAGTACCAACTGTGCTTTCAACTGAATTCAATAATTTAAAGATCTGTTTGCTTTTTAAAGCTTCAAAAGAATTGCTGACAGATGAGGACAAGACTTTACTGGAACGTTGGAAGACCATGCAGGAAAACACCCAGCCATTTGTCCATCCTGTCAGGCAACATATGAGAGACATGCTGGAGAAGAGGCAGCAGAAAAAAGAACAACTCCACAGTTCAGGTGGTGAAGTGCCTAATGAGGAGCACTTGCCTTTACAGCAACAACAACAACAGGAATCACAGCATATACAGCAACCTGTGATTAATACACAGGACATTATAACAGCGAATAACAATGACTTGAAACAAAAAATGACAGGACCAACAGTAGTTGCTGCAAATCCACTGCTGAGTCAAAGTGACATGATGATGCTGAATCAACAGCCTTTGAAATCAGTTTCAGCCATTAACATCCAGGACCCTAATTTCTTCAATATAAATCAACATAACATAGGTGGCAGTTCTATGTCCAGTAGTATTCATGCCCCATGGACTTTTGACAGTGAAGATTCTAACAGTCAACCAGAGCAGAACTTTCCTACAAGCAGTTTGCCTAACTTTGGTGAAAGTAGTGCTAAAAAAACTACAGCTTCTCATGTAGTTGACCAGTCTCAAGGGCAGCAGCACTCGGTTATCTCAGGGATGACTTCAAGTCTTCCATCTGAACCTCCAACTGACATCATTTCTGTGGTGACTAAACAATTAACCAAGACACAGATGGAAGACATGTTGCCCCCAATGTTGGCCCTAACCCCTAGAGGCACTGGAGGGGGGTACGGAGTTGGCTTTGACCTTGATGACCTTCTTGGAGACTCCTTTGGCGCTACCAGTCCAGGAAACAGAGACAGTACCAAGTATGTGGAATTTAAAATTAAATTTTGGTAAATCTTACTATGATTAAATGTCTTAGTGAAGTATTGTTAGGTGTGCTTCATATATGGCCATAACGTAAAACTGTTATCTCAAATTGATAATAGAAATGATGTTATTTCCAGTTTGAAGCTTGATTCAGCCCCACTGTCAGCATCCTTGCTTGAAGATTGGCTGGAAGTGACAGGAAACCTTGGTCCCAGGGATATGGAGGCCTTGCAACAGGAGCTAGAACTAGGGTCACCAATGGTGTTCTCAGACTTTTGATGCGAGAAAAAATTGAAACTGGAGCTGATACATTGCATTCACTTCTTATTTTACTTGCAAAACTTGACATATTCTTTAGTAACTCTTCATTGTTTTAGTTTTAATTAAGATGGACATTCTTAACACTTTGCATAATATACAAATAATTATATAATACTGAATATTTACTTTTGTTTTTTACAGAAAAACTGTTTTTACCAATTTATTATTAATTCGGTAAAAACATTTCATTCTCTTGTAAAGAAATTGTAAGCAAAAATATAAAAGACAATAATTAGGCTCCATGTGAACAGGGTTTTTTAAAAACGTACGTATTCTCAATTTAAAAAAAACGCCGTGAAAGTTATCAACAAACAAAACTACAAAAATTTATACGGCAAGCCTGGAGAAATTTATGTTGCAAAGCAGCTATTGCATATCCTCATGGAGTAGAGTCAAGTGCAAAATAATTAGATTGCCATGAGAACTAGATGGTTTCAGCTGGACGGGGTACCTCTCTCTGCCATGGCCACCAGGGCTTCTCTTCATCAGCTGCAACTAATTCCTAAACTTTTTCATTCCACGAGGACGGATCTTAACCAAATGGTTCGCCCTATTTTTGCAATAAAGGTCAAATATTGCCCAGAGGGTATGTCGATGTGACAGAAATGGTAATCCGCTTGGAACTGAAGACCGTTTCCCATTACTGTGTAAGGTGACATTCGTCCCATACACAAACCCCCATACTACACTACCCCCTGTACTAATCATACGAGACCCTGGACTTCCATTCCTAGGACTGCCATCCCGGTCACACCCGTTTCGATGCTGATGGGCTGACATTTAGAATTTAGTTAGCTGTGTTTGCGTGTGAAAGTATTCGATTTTTCCCCTTTTATGTGCTATCAACATAAATCTGGCATATTTTAAAATAAGTGCATAGGGGCAGATTTTTATTGTCCGTTTTATGTCTCTTAGTGTGCGGCGTAACAATGGACGACTAGTTGCTACGCAGGTTTCGTTTGTCCTTGCCATGCTCGCGAGGTGCGATTTTAAAAGATTGTAAAATTTGCTAACAGTTTTTTTTTTTTTTTCAAACGCACAATATTCGGGGAAAGGTAATACCGGCGAGTTATTTGGTTGGGATTGGATTTTGGTTGCGTTGTTAATTTTTTGTATTAAATACTAAAGGTGAAAACGACCGAAATGACAGCTCGTTTACGTAAAAGTAGAATTTCTTGAAAAAAGAAAGAAATGATCATATCAAACACTAAATACGCGTGCTGAAATCGAAGTATTTTCTTTCTACTGCAACAACTCCCCATCGTTCGTTTTTTCTGACCATAGATTCCGCAATGCATTAACCAATTTTTAGTGACGAGAAAAGCTTTTGTTTCATAAACCACGAAGTACGGGGCTTCTTGCAATTGAAATCCAAATACCTTTAGATGTATTCTATTAACAGACCTATAAAGAATGTACCAATGTAACAAGCAACCAAACGCTATTTACAACAATGATCTATTTATTTCAATCGCCACATTGATGTAATGAAATGCATTCGTTGTTGAAACAACGGAACAAAATGCAAAAAAAAAACAATGGCCGATCAAGTAACAAACAAGATTTCAAAGCAAAATTTCATGAACCAAATTGTATGATTTTCAAAGTTAGTGTAAACCGATATTATCCATTAACAGTCTTGGCGGCAAGTCCTCGTGTTGCCGACTTGTTACGAACGTATGCAAAGAAACACGCGGACACGCAGCAAAAAGCAATGATGATGAGGCCAACTAACACAGCAAGAACAACAAAACTGAACTGATTTAGGCAGAATCCGTTTGCATCCGATTTTTGCACGGGTATCGGCGCTTTAGGCGATGGTTGTTTAACTTTGGGCACTTCCACTAGTGGTGGGGCAAGCGTCGTTAAATCAGATTCTGGATCAATGACATGAACAAAATAACCCAACGCTACAGAAGCAGGTCCTCTCTCTTCAGTTTCGGCTGAATAGTCGGGCTCCGCGGTGTCCAGGTTGCTCTGGATGTACTCTTCTTCCTCTGCAGCTCGTCGTCGGCGTCGTCCCCAGCTCATTTCGTTGTTGGAACAGTTCTTTGGTCCGCAGTCAGTGCTGTTTTTGTCGCAGGCCTTCACGGTGCAGAAAAAACCCATTGTCCTATTGGTATCGTGTCGAGGAGTCATCAGAAACATTGGAAAGGTGGCAGACAATTTTTTGGTAGTGCTATCTTGTGTGAAAACGGTGAAAAAGGGGACGCTGGGACAACTGTTTGAGATGAGGTAGAGGTACTTCCAGGTTTCGGTTGAGGAATTCTTAGTGACACCGGCAGCCCAGCAGCTGAGTGCCTCTATCTTAACATGTGCATACGGTGTCGGTATAATTTCCATCGTAACATTACCACCCAAAACAACGGGGTCGGAATTCAAATCAATTATGGCGCCGGTAGATGTATTCTTCAACACTAAAGTTATGTTGATATCTAGTGCTGGTATATTGGCAGTTTGTCCGATAATTGGAATGATTTCTCCCGCCGGTACATAGGCAGAAACGTTGGTCATAGTGGTTGCGTAAAGAGACTTGGCACAAGCAAACGTCTTGGCCGAATCTATTGTTTCCAGGTAATAGTCCTTATCATGGAGAATGATAACGGTGAAATTTGTATCGTAAGCTGTGCCACACTGCCCAATGGATACATTCAGGACCCAGGGTGATGCAGCTATGAAACAGCCTGCAGTGCTGTAATGGCCGTCTACGTACATTCGCCCTTCAGTGGGAAGGTAATTGCCGTCGGTCACTTCAATGGAGGCCTGGTTCGTGCCGCAGACTAGATTCGTGGCTAGATTGGCTGCATGGACCGTTGTCAATAAGGCAGAAATTATAACCAGAGAGAAACCTAGTAGAGTGCCTTCGCGCAGCGAGACGAACATCTTCCTTTATTGCTGAAACGACCAAATGAAAAACAATAACCACACTGGGTAAGGCCACTGGAGGGGAATGGACTTCGTTTCTTAAATCAAAATTGTCAAGCAAATGGAATATTAGAGTGAGACGACAAAACGTTGAATTGCTGCAATGCGACAAGTTATTATAAATCCCCGCCGGTTGGGAAATCAGTTATAATTTTTTCAGATAAAATTTGGAAGAAAGCCACAAATAGATATCAATGTAAATTTTACTTCAGATAATTGCCTTAAAGGTACACTCCATAAGATTTAACCGCCAAAATGGATTTTCAGGGATAAATAAGTAAATTTCTCATACCCACTAATCATTTATCTATCCCTCTCTACAGTTGGATTCGATAAAATTGGTTGATTTGAGCTTAAATTGACTGGACAGTCATTCTAACAGCGACCGTTTTCCTATAAGCTCCTATGGAGATATCAATATCCGGAATGCTCCAGAAAAAGTTACTAGAGGGGTTAAATCATTTTAAGGTGTATGTAAGGTTTTAATAGAGGCTGTGAATGGCAAAAATAAGCATTTGGAGATTTTCAAACCTATGGTGTGTATCTTTAAAACTTCCGCACTTATATATTTTAATTATTCACTACGAGGACTTACGTGCACGTGCTGGAAAATAATGACGGCCTGTCCAATGGAAGCGTGTGCGTCGAGAGCTCTACCACCGGTTCTGCGATGATCAACTGCTCAAAACGCCCAGAAGCTGCAGCTTATATCCAAGCTTGGCACGTGGTTAGGTGAGGCCCAGAACACTTCGCACAGTGTCGTTAGTTTGGATCACAAACTGTTATAGGGGGTGTGGATAGTCAAATTAAGTCGCTTTGTGAAATATGACGGTCAAAAAAAGAATTTGCGCTAAAGAGCTTGTGAGAGTGTCATGCACTCAACTAATATTCATTGCACTCGGAAGCAATAACGCTTGTTTCGATATTAAAAAGCTTATATGCGATATACATAGTAACCCATGTTGCAGAGTGAGATCTGCTGTATTCCACATGCACCACTCAGCTTTGAGGTTTTCTAAGTTAATACGTCATAATAGACAGAGCAAAATTACTCTATCCCAAGGTCAGCTGTGATGTCATGATGTCATTCTTTTTCAATGGCAAGGTCCTCGCTAGACAGTACAGAAATGTGCACAGAATCAGCCGTAAAATGTCTGTGAATATCTACTAAAACAAACTCTCTGTGGCCCTGGTAAAGGGTAGCGCAAACCAGTAACGCTGTTTGGTCAGACCCTGGGCATTTGGAGCAGATATATAAGGTCACACTATAAAACCACGTTGAACGCCACCTGCTCAAGTGATAATTTTGTCAAAAAAAAAAAAAAAAAAAAAATCTGGGGCGGGGGTTTATAAATTTTTTATAATTCCTATCGTCCGCAGAAGAAAATATGATGCTTTCATTGCAATTGTGGTTCTTTATGATGCTAAATCTGGGGTGGCGTACGATTTTCTATGTACAACTAACATTTTGATTGTTCTAAACACGACATGTCTTATCCATAAGTGGTACACGCTGGTACAAAATCACGTCTAATGCGTTTAAAGAATCAAAATACAACCGTCTCCCCCATTCCAGAGACAAAAATAACTAGATGGTGTCAATGGGTAGCCATCGCATATCCCCGCACTTCCCCATATTATCAAGAGCAGCTCACCCCTAGGGACCACTTACCACACATGCACGTACACACGCACGTATGCACACACATACACACACATCTCTGCTTCATTCAAAGGTAAATATATATATATATAATGTGAAAAGAAATTAGAATCAACCCCCCCCCCCCCCGAGGACAGCCCAACCCCCTGTGGCACTAAAATTCCAAAATCCCCATGCACATCCATGATGATGGATCTTCCAATTCCCATAGTTTCAATTTCCAATCTCTAACGGTTTAGGAGGAGATAGCAGAAATTAAATTGTCATAAGAATTTTGAATCAACTACCCCCAGGGACAGCCCAACCCCCTGTTGCACTAAAATTCCAAAATGCCCATGCCCATCCCTGATTATGGGTCTACCAATCCCCAAAGTTTCAACTTCCTACCTGCAATAGTCTAGGAGGAGATAGCGGAAATTACTAACACACAGACGCACGGACGGGCGGGATAACATGATCCCCGACTTTTGTCCCTAAAGTGCGGGGATAATAATATTTAAATAAATAAATAAATAAATAAAAACGTTCCAGCTTTACCCGTTTAATAAAGTGCTGTGCATTCGAAGTGCGCTCCAACTATTGAGGTCTGCAAAGACTGCGAACTGTTTCAAAAGCATTTACCCAGATGATGTAAATTACAAATAATAATAATAATAAAGGAATAAAACAAATGTTTTTTTTTTAATTTAAAAAGGGCAAGTAGCAGGGGCGGATCCAGGATTATTTGAAGGGGGGGGGTCCGCGGATGCGAGGCCGACCCCC